CCCAGTGACTTAAGACTGCTTTTGTGCTCCAGGGTCACAAATACATAAAAAATACACACTACTATTTAAAAGTTTAGGGTCAGTAAGATTTTTTTAGCAAGGAAGCATTAAATGAATCAAAAAGTGACAGTAAAGACAACTATAATGTTACAAAAAATATTTAAAATAATTGCTGTTCTTTTGAACTTTCTATAATCAAAGAATCCTGAAAAATAAAATATATCATGGTTTCCACAGAAATATTGTGCAGCACGACTGTTTCCAACATTGATAATAATCAGAAATGTTTCTCGAGCAGCAAATCAGCATATTATTATGATTTCTGAAGATCATGTGACACTGAAGACTGGAGTAATGATGCTGAAAATACAGCTGCGCATCACAGGAATAAATTACATTTTAACAGATATTCACATAGAAAACAGCTGTTTTAAATTGTAATAATATTTCACAATTTTTACTGTATTTTTGATCAAATAAATCGACTTCTTTTCGACCCCAAACTAAAGCCGTACAGCAGATGTGTTGTCTCTCACCAGTGGTAGTATTTGAACCGTGGTCTCCAGTTGGGCGTCCTCAGCAGCGTCTGCAGGGCACAGGCCAGATTCACGAACAGATAACACATGAGAAAGAACCTGAGGAGAGACAACACACAGTCAAACACACAGTCTGTCGCCACACTGACGGAGAAACAGCTCAGACATGAGACTCACATGGAAAGGATTGGCGCCACAGCGTCCAGAGAAGCGATGAGAATCCCGCATTCACAGATCACAGCCGTCAGAAGAAGAGCCCAGGTCGGCTCTCCGTTGGCCTTCCCATGACCAAACACCTGAGAGACCAGCAGATGACACAGTTCATGTGTAGAATAACACTGAGATATGTTCAATGATTCAAAAGACATCTAATGAAACGTCTGAAATCCTTACCACACCAAAACATAGAAACAGTTATTGTTACTATAATAAACCATGGTAATCTGGTATTAACCAGCACTGTCATTACCAAACATCAAATACTCTGAAAGCTTCTTACACCGGTTGAAGGAAATACCATTTTAATTCCCATATTCCCAATCAATTTATAAACCTAACTAAAACTAATAAAATGTGTATTTTTTAAATAAAATGCACATCTGTTTCAACAGTAAAAAAAAAAGTGTTGCTATTTTTAAATAAAAACTATTAAAACTATTAAAATTTTATTTTTTATATACATTTTATAAAATGCACATGTCTCTGATTCAAAATTCAATAGTAAAAACTAAAACTATTAACCCTTTAACTGTCCCCGCCCCCCTTTGAACACAGACATAAAAATGCACCGAACTTAAATTGTTTTAATTCATGATCGCTTTGGAATTCAGACCTAAGGTTGATCTCTTTTTAAAGAAGACAATCAGCAGATTATTGCTGAAGTGATCATTTAAAAAAAATGAAAGTATGACAGAGTTATAGAAGTTTAACTTTACTGTAAAGAAAATGTACTGTACTATAAAGTTTTTATTTTATATAAAATAATTATTTTACAGAATGTTTTACTCTAAAATTGCTTTCAAATTAAAGCCATATGTCTAAAAAAGTTATGCTCCAAATTTGAAGTCGATATATTAAAAAAAAAACTGAGGTTCCTGGGAGATTTTATTTAGGCGTTATACCATAAACAGCCACCGGGTGACACTCAAACTTCATTGAATTTTTTAAATGCATTTTCCCGTCACAAATTTATCAAATTTTTTCACAATTTTGCTTCTATCACAAAATAACCAAATATGGAATCTTGAGACTCAGACTTTTCCGACGATATGCATTTTGTCAGGATTATATAAAGTTTTGATTATAAAATATCGTAATACATTTGGTCATATGACACTTGACACCGGCCACTGAGGGGGAGGAGACTGCCAAAAGATTTTAAAGTTGTTAACGCAATGTCCGATTTCAAAATGGGATTCACAAGCTGAATTTTGAGTTTTTAAGCTTTCAAATGATATCTAACTTATGATGATTACTAAAATACGTGATAGGGAAAAAAGACAACGAAAAAAAGAATACCAAGCATCCCGCGAGCCATACCGTGATCAATTTCACTAAATGAAATAAAGCTGAAATAAAATATAAATATAAGATGAAAAAATTCAACTTAAATGACTAACTAATATAAAATAAGTTTAATATGAAGTACTAAAATTACTACAACTTAAATAAAAATAAAGCTTAAAAACAAAAACTAATATAACTGATGTAACTAGCATATGCACATAACAAAATTACTAAACCTAAAATTAAAATGAAGCCAGAAAATCTAAAAATAAAAGCTAATTCAAAATATCATATATTATAGATATATGATATCACGAGATATCAGGCATATCTGATGCGTTCGTACCCGGAGGAAGGGCACGATGCCGTCCCGCGCGATGGCCTGCAGCAGCCGGGGGGCGCCGGTGAGACTCTGAAGCCCCGCCCCACAGCAGGAGAAGAACGAGCCAATCACGATCACCCATGGAGAGGGCCAGGACAACGTGCCAATCACCAAATTCCCTTTAACAGAGTCTCCAAACCTAATGAACAACAACAAATAATATATAGGTAAACAAAGGTATTTCTAAATTAAACCACTTTATATTAATACCTTGCAGTATTGAATAAGATATACAAATATTTTACAGCTTATTGCAATGCATTCTGGGATCTGGGATGGGATACTGCATTAAAATTCGTTCAAAATTAGGAATCTTAGGAGGAAGCATATTGCTGCCCATAGTATAATGAAAAATTAGAAATTGCCTGTAAATTTCACAAATACGATTTTATAATAGTAACATAATTGAAGTAGCATTAGTATTTAGAATTTTTAAAATACATTTTATAAAATGAATCTATCGTCGATTCTAAACACAATAGCAAAAAGTGTTGTTATTGTTACATAAAACCAAACTAAAACTATTACAAATTCATTGCTAATTGAAATAAAGCTGAAATAAAACATAAATATTAAATGAAAAACCAAATGAAAAATAAATAACATTAAAAAAAGAAAAAAGTAAAACCAGTATTGTTATTGTAAATCAATTTTCTTAATTGAAATAAAGCTGAAATAAAATATAGGTAAACAAAAATATTTCTAATTTAATCCACTGACACCTAGCAGTATTGAATGAAGTATAAAAATATTTCAGGTTTTTTTTTTTTTACTTTTAAACAATTTTTACTCAGAAATTGCTAGTAAATTTCACAAATAATTGCAAAGAAACAGCAAGTAACACATTGAATTAAACATGAAATTTTGACGTAGAAAGACTGAAATAGTATTGTCTTGCAAAATTCACTCCAATAACCTTTATTTAGTTTCAACTTTTTTTTTTTTTTTTACAGTGTATCTGTGCATCTTTGGAACATCTAAACGCTGTCTAGGTAGGTAGCACACTAGGTTTTGGAACAGACACAAGCATTTTCCTGTGATATAATCTTGAGATATTGCATACTGTATAAAGAGTTCATTGACCGCAGTGCAGAGCTGCTCACAAACAGGCTT